TAAAAATAAGTAATATTATTATATTAATATAAAAGCAATAAAATCAAAAATAACACATTCTTTTCCAGGTTTACGATAATTTTATATCGATCGGACGATTTTCATCTAACCGTTTGCATCCCTATTTTAGATTCAAGGTATTTTTCTTTCATTTTTTTAATAGTACAGTCAAACCTTTGAACAGAGGCCACTGAAGAGAACTAAAAAATGACCGTTATTCGGAGGTTTGGCTGTATTAAATTATAAATTATTACAGTCTTTTCCGGTTAAGAACGGAGCCGATGTTTCTTAGTCGAAGGAAAATTCATCATCAGTCATTAAATTAAAAATAAATATTTCAAACTTATAACACAGGTCAACAGTGGTTTTGGTGCCCAGGTATTTTGAGCTGATTTCATATAAATGTGATGTCCTGAATTCAAATACGGCATTAGTTTTTGCCTAGGAGCTCTAATTTTTAAGATATAGCATTTTAGCGAAATATATGTTTCAATATCTTAAGTTAAATCCATGGATCAAGTGAAAAAACTAAACTCGGAATTTTTATTATTATATTATGCAAATATTATTCTATACAAAGATAGACAAAAAAGTCATCAATAACACTAAACAGTTTTATTGAGGAAGCTTCTTTTCCGCGACTTTCGTGAATGTATTTTGGAGCAATCACTTTTTAAACTCCAGCAGTAATCTGCCATCATATGCGTATCCCAACTTCCTTGGTAGCGGTCCTCCATAGTTTTAATATCCTTTTAATAATTAGTGAAATCTTTCACCTTTTTCTTCACTGGTGTCTCCTAAATTTTCAGGAAAACGGTCTAAGTGACCGTGTAAATAGTGCACCTTAATACTCATATTACACCCAAGAGATTTTAAACTGTTAAGCATCTCGTTTACCAGCCCCCAATTGAGTCGGATAATCGATGCTCTACTGTGTTCTGTTCTTTCAAAGTTGATGTTCTGTTTTTTTAATTAATTGCTCATTGTGGTCGTAGCTAAGCAACGAAGCTACGATGGTGTGATACATGTTCAAAATCTAGCAAATCGGCTCCATTCTTACTCTAGGAAATACTATACTATTGGATTTTTATAGATTATTGGATTTATGAAAAGATTCAGAGGAATCCCCATTGGATTATCTATGGCAGATTTCTTATATGTTAAAAGAGATTTTATGATGAGGGTGAGTAATCTAAATGTCAATTGTCTATGTCAGGCTTGGCCAATTTAGTGTGTTGTGATCGGCTTTCAAAAGTAAGGCTACCGATGATTATACCATCATATTTTTATTCTTTTACATAAAGTTTATTGATTCACTCTTACAAAATTATGCTACAAAGCATAATTTATTATACACTAATTGACTCTGAAGATAAACTGTTTTTGATAAAGGCTCCAAAGATTAAATAAACAGCAGCATTTATCTTTCTCCATATATAAAACAATTTTATTTTCATTCCTCATACAGTACAAATTATGAATTTCGCTTTAGTACACTTTTTCGCACATAACTGAAATTCTTTTGGGCACAAAAAACCAATTTATAAAATAACAACATAATCTAGATACGACCAAACAGCGCGTTCCATTTCCTCGTATAGGCTACCTGTTCTGCACGTGTTCTTTTCACATAGTCCCAATTAGATAACCACACAGAATTCAGCACAGTACTTATTGTATAACCCAAGCGACGGTTTTAAAATTTTGTGGTGGAAAATTTGGAATTTATATTCTCGTAGAAATTACAAATATTTTTCGTGTTTTAAAAGGCCATAGTATTCTCAATAGACTAAAATTGATGCTGCAATCTACCGGTCGATCGCAAGCGACTTGTTGGCTATGCCTGGTCTAGAAAATATACAAACGTCTTGATTGACTAATATAAATATTTACAGGTGGGAAGTGCCTTGTATTCTGTATTTTCTTCGATGATCGAAATAAGTGGAGTGATGAAGAAAGAACGAATATGTCATACTTATAGTAATACTACTGCACCTGCAAAAAATTATTCTATAAATAATAATTTTGCGTAGATATATGCAAAAACGAATTATTTTTAAATAAGAATTATAATTAAATAATAAGAATTATTTTCATGTATATAAAGTAAATTTTAATAAAACGGCACTAATCTAATTTGAAACTTTTTAATGCCTTAAAATTTTGAAGGCCTAATGGCCGAACAGACTGTACGCTCGGATTCGAATTTCAGGAAGAAAATTTTGGTCACTTCTTTTACTGGGGCAGATAGCTGAGCGGTTAAGATGGCAACTCTAGGGCAATCAGAATAGAATCCGGATCAGTCGAAAACTCCAAGAATTTTTTGGGGGTTGGTCTGTCCCGATACGTCGTGCCTCCTTATTGTGGGCCTTGAATATGGCAAGGAGACACGTGGGCGATCTGCCGAGGGAGGATGCTTCTCGGGAGGACTTTCTATGGGAAACTGGCTCCTATTTAAGTATTATTAACGGAAAGTAAACTCTGAAAACTGCATGTGGCCAGCCCATTGACGAGGCAAATCCACGACTTGCTAGCTATCAGTGTTCAGTGATTTTATGCACTCGGACACTGGTGGGCGGTCTTGCAAAGTAAAACCTTCTTAATGCTCACAAAGCGAAAGAATTTTTAAAAAGTAACGGTTCTTGTCCGAAATTTTCGGCCATACCCTGCAATCGATTAAAATAATAATTTTAGAAAATGATTATGTAGAAACAAACCTTTACCAATTTTTAATGTCTCAAGCACTTTTCATAATTATGTGATGTAGGCAGGGGTTCTTCATACGGTTGCTAGGATCCCAAAGAGCCAATCGATTTATTTGGAGGATCGATGAATTACTAAGAATCATTCGAATGTCGGTGGACAAATTTGTTTTTATTATATTTAAAAATGCAACAATAATTGATAAAAATAAATATAATAAAAATATATCAATTATTATTATAAGTTGTCTTTAAATTTTATTAATATGAAGCACAAAATTTGATTTTTGATTTATTTTTAACCACAGAAAAATATTGATTCCTACTAATACTTTTATTCAAGGTATTTGTAATTTATTTTTATTTTGTATTATTATACAAAGGAGTCTGGGAATTAAATCTAGTGGTGTAAAACAGTACCTGATGTATGTACTGTTATAAATACTACACAGTAAATTAAATTAATTATTTAAATATATTAATTAAATTGGTGGTTACATTCATTTCTGGCTGTTTGGAAAGGAAATACAGAGTGCTTCAAGACTCCGAATTACATATTCCTTTACATAGGTGCTGTTAATTGAGTAATAATAAAATAATAATATGCCAGTTACAGTTACAATTATGAATATGCAGATGTTAAAAAATTGCTACGTTAACTGACTTTTGGGCCTCTTGTATTTCACTAAAAATTTTAATGTTTCTTCCTAAAAATGCAACTACTCTATAATATTGTACGTGTTTTGAACGAATATTAAAACTAATTTTCGCCAAAACATAAAGTATGCGATAAAATTAACTTATGAAGAGAGTATAATATGGAAAAATGTTTTCCTTTATGTTACTTTTATACTGAATATGATTTATCATATTAATAAATTATGAATTAAATAATATTCATGATTATATTAATTCACTGCATGCACTACATTTGTTATTGTCAAAATAATATAAAATATTAATATTGAAATTTTTTTATAGTTTTAATAGTAACTAGAAACAAAATTTTTCTAAGTTTTTGATCTTGCTATGTAGACATTATAATTAATATAATAATAGTCATTTTGCTGAGATGATGGAGAGTTTGGGCTCTTTGCTTTGGGAACCCTAGAAAGAATCCAAATGCGATCTCCCGGTTCATTGAGTAATAGCTATGTCATCTAAACATGGAATATTTGCCCCACGATTTCTGCCAGCGACTGAAAACTGTTGAATCCAATTAATATTTTTCTTTTTCTTTTGCACGCCACGAACTCAGCCGTATTTTCCGTATGCTTCAAAAAGAATGTTAGATATGTTGATCCATTATCGATTTAATGCAGTATATTGTATATGGCAATAGTCAGTATACAACAAATATAATATAGATTCTAATATAATATCAATATATTTATTTTTAAGAATACAAGTAATAATACTGTAATAAGAGTTCTTTATCGCCAAATCTGAAATATCTAAACTTCATAATGCAATAGCTCAATGTGATCAGAAACTTCCTTTGACCCTAGCAAAAATAAACGAACTCTCAGCTATCATTAACATTAATTAATGATAGGTTAACTATATAGAAGCCCCTTCATGGAAGATTTCCCCTTCTTTCTCAAATGCTAATAAAGATGCATCATTAGCTTCGAGATGGATTTCTGTTTGGATAAACTGAAGGCATCATATATGCTAAGATCAAGTGGCTGCAAGAAACAAAAAGTGTAGTAGAAAAGCTGAATTAGTCTATGGTCCGAGATGATGGACAAGTAAGTGGTCCTCAGGCAGACTTAAATTGGTAAAGACTTGAAATTATGTATGATAATTTACTTTTTATAGTTTACTTCCAATTTAATTAAATATGTTTCTATATGTATCCAAAACATGCTTTTTGATTTATTATGTTAAAAATGGCACATTATGTATCAAATGTTGGTAATACTCACAAAAATTTAAAAAAGTTAGGCCTACATAATTTGGTCCGGAGAATTTTTGCAGACATTTCACTGGTCTTTGGGCTTAAAAAGATTGAAAAATGCTGCAATGAATCATTTAATATCTGGATGTTCAAATTTAGCTTACACTGTGTAAGCTAAATTTGAAGTACAGCTTACACTGTGTACCTACGGAAGCGTAATATAACAGTAAACATAATTCACCAAGCAATAGCCCAGAAATATAAACTAATTGAATCTGAAAATAAAACTCTATATTAGGACTATGAATCTAAACTACTACTTGAAAACAACACCATAGGCTCTAATATGACCTGCCAATACAAACTGATAAAATTGTTCCAGCAAACAAACCTGATTTAGTATTCCATAATTTAAAGGACAAAAATAGCTGTGTTCATTGATATAACTCATCCAAATGGCCACAATGTAGATAAGTCTGAGAAAATATGAAGTAGGCTACATTCCACTTGCAGTAGAATATAAATAAATCCACAGACTATAGAAAATAGATATAACTCCCACTGGGTTAAATAAGAAAAATCTCTCTAATGTCATTTCAAAGTTACAATTAAATCATCTATACCGTACAAAACCTGTCCAAAAAGGAATCTAAATAAAATGATAACCTACCTAAGCAGGCAAATTCTTCGGAACAGAACGATTTTTGAAGTTAAAATAAACCTGTTCAAAACGAAAACTTGCCAAACCGAAAAAGAAAATATTCGAAACCGTGCTATTCCGGTTAACACAAGTTTCACTGTATACAAAAATTCATTTTTTGAGTTGTATAAACTTATACATCAAATAAATTTGTAATCTCGACAGATTTCTAATGCTTACAAAGTTAAATTCTGGAATTTTCGACATTTATTATATATATTGAATATATATTTGCTCATAATTTGAGGAATTATTATTGCTGAAAGATTAATTAAGATCCTAATATTAGGCATTATAAATAGCACAAAAGGAAAAAATTCTCGTAGAATATAATTAAAAGACAGAAGAATAATGCGGATTATAAGAACTCAACAATATTACAAGGTATATAAAGTCTACAATTTGAAATTTGCAGCCAAATTAGATAATAGATAAAAATAATAACTTAAAATATTAACAATAACTTACGACTCAGCGAAGACTGAACGGTTGATTACTAATGATGAAAATAAAAATGATAATGATTGTGCAAAGTTTAAAAGGTAACTAATATTAATGTAACTATAAGAAATCTTTAAAAAATTGCTAAATATACAATAAAAATTGATATTAATTGTTCTAATATTTATTTTACATTCAGTACATGAGAGAAAATGAGATAAATAATAAAAAAATTGCATAAAGTGAACGCTTATTTGCACACGACCTTCGAAATTTGCTATAGAAGGAAAGATTCTGCAACACTGAATTATGTTCTTCAAATTAATTATATTTTGTATTTTAGAGAAAAATATGACTTTTTAAATAACAATAAAATAATAAGTTTACGTTAAAAAATTTCGAATAAATAAAAAAGATTTTCTAAATTTATTATTAAAGTTTAAAATTTTAATTTTTTTACTGTTTTAAATTTAAATTAAATTTGAATTTAATTGTTTGATTTAAAAATAATATCTGTGACACATTTATTAGTATTTTCGATTTTTTTAATCTAAAAGATTAAATTGGTGATTATTTATGGTTTTTTTAAAATTATTATAACTAAAATTTATCATAAATGAAATGAAAAATATATAGTTATCGCACGACATAATTATATAATTTTTAGCGAATTATTTAAAGTTAAATTAAATTATTTTCGCTCGATTTTGATTTTGCTTAACAGCCATATTAATAATACTAGCAGATGAGGCCGGAGTTGCCCGGGAAAAAATAACAACAGCAAAGATTAAGATTATTAGATTATTTTGTACTTATAACCCTTCTGTTATATTATATTTATCACACTGAGTGTCCAATCTAATACATTTTTAAAATTCTCTAAATTGTGTACAGTAGAGGAATAAAGAATTAAAATGTGTTAGATTGTTCATTCGATGTCATAAACCCTTACGTAAGATAACATTTATAGTTATATAGCCGATTTTGCCCTTTGGGTACGAATTAGGTCTCTCCTCTTCTAAGACTAATTAGAGAATTTTTAGATGGGGCTAAAAATATGTTCGATTTCCCACAAAAACGCAAAAAACCGCATCTAAAATAGTGCGCAGTAGAAGCCCAGTTCTTCAAGATAATCCTTAACCTTCTCCCACTCCCCCGCGGGGGGATTTCCAAAAAATCCCTTCTTAGTGTACATTCTCATGACGTACCCTAACTGAGTAACAAATTTCAATTTTCAACTCCTAACCGTTTGGGCTCTGCACTTATTATTATTATTATCAACCCACCTCGATTATATTATAAGATAATACATTACAATACACTAAATGTATGGGCAAAATGTACCAAGCATGCCCCAAAAATTCCTAATATGCAAAAGTAATCGTTAATTTTTATCAAACAGGAAAAAAATCTAAAATAGTTATGTAAAGCCATACAAAAAATATTATATAAGGCATTTAATATAAACAAAGGGAGGAAAAACGAGGATATTTTGATTTAATGTAGAAATCGTAATGTTTTCTTTGTTTTAAACAACAATATTGAATAAATAACCTCTGTATAGACATAAAGAAGTAAAGGAAATATTCTTCATTTACCATTCTAATACCCGAAGCGACAACAATGAAAATCGCAACTGCCTTCTGCATGTACTTTTCAGTATTATATCCTGTGTTAGGAACATCGACACTGACTAGAAAGTATTGCAGTAAGTAAATTACAATATATTTTCTTATAAATATGTTTGTGTCGTGATAAAATTCGTTATATTTAAACAGGTGTGGGAGAAAAGTCTATACATGAACTTCGCGAATGTTTCGGAGAACAAAGTGAGGTAAGGTACTGTTTGGAGGTAAAGATGCCCGACCACTTATGTTTTTTTAGGTCTTCTGTATGTTAAAACAGATTAAGTTAAAAAAATTATATTTTTTAAATAATAAAATTTTAATAAAGTGTTTTTGAGGGGTCAGTAAAGGTGAGACCGTACCTAAATTATCCTATTGGTTGCCTTATGACAGTGTCCGGTTATAATATAATTAAATGCTAAAAACAACTTATAAAATGTAAGTTATTTAGTAAAATTTTATGCGTATAATTGTTTTTCAGGACATTTATGCTATAGCCAAGAACTGTTTCGGTGTTTTTAAAAACACTTTGGACGAAGACCAATATCATGCATACATATGCGATAATATAGATACAAAGGTATAAAATCTACTTCATAATTTGCATAAATGACTCTAAGTCTTTGATTAAATATAAATAAACAAACTTCAGATCATAGATTTAGGTCATAGGAATATATCCTAACAATATTATTCTAATTATTAAGATATGTTTCATCCTTTAAAAATTATTCTTAAATTCTATAAGATTAACTTAAGACATTTAAAAACTAAAAAAAATATAAAAGTTTGCAACTTATATTAATAAGGATTTAATTTAAAATCGACAGGAAGGGAAAGAATTCGAAAATTGCTTTGATGAACTTGCTAAATTGAACGATATTCATTCAATTTGTGATGTAAGTAACTTTAAAATTTTTAAAGTATGTCTTTATCTATAGAATAATAATAATAATAATTGATACAATGCTTCAAGCATACATTATATGCGTATATCCTATAAATATATTTATAGGAATGCCTCAGCAATTTGATAGTAAAGAAGACTAATTCCTTTTCTTTATTCAGCAAATTCCAGATGATTTTTGATAAAGAAAATTCTTAAAAATTGTAATAATTAATTAAAAAAATAAATAAAAATTTTATTCAGTTGTTTCTTCTCTTTTACATCATTTAAATTAAAAAAGGGCAAAGTTACGTTTAAACTAATTATCAGAAGACATTGAACTAGTCTTTAATGTATCGCCTGACCCAATGACCTGTATAATTAACGTTATAATACGCACGGTTCTAACTGTAAAAAACCACAAAATAAGTTAACATATAACCATATTATTAAAATATAATATACAAATTAAGTAAATATTATTAAAAATATGATTAACTTTAAATTATTTCGTCGAATAAAGTTTCGATGGTAATTAAAAAAATAGGTTATCAGTGTTACATCAATGGGAGTTTGTTACCTTGTTACAGTTGAAGAGAGTAGGCGATTCTCTTCCCACATATATTTTCTATCTCTATATATACACAATTTAGTGTTGTCGATGATAACAGAAAGTGAAAGCAAAGAAAATGAAACTTCTATTAATTTTCTTCATCGCTTTTGTGTTCGTACAAGATGGAGTGAGTTTAGATGCATTCGACATTGTCGATAAATATTGTGGTAAGTTTCATTTTCAGTTTTAATCTTCCTTATATAAGAATCTACATTTTAACTTAGTAATAATGTTTAAAATGAGTATGAAATATATAAATTTACATTAAATTACCTGGAAGATTTTAGTTTTTCTTACCGAACTAATTATTTGCAGCATCAAAAAATCAGGATGACATAAGGAAATGCATGACTGAAAATGGAAAATCTAAGGTTAATATATTATTCATTTAACGGAATATAATATTTTCTATAAATAAACTACATTTTTTAAAAATTTTTTCCGTAGTTATTTAATTACTTCGATGCATGCGCTCGTCCTTTGAGAAGACACGTCGGAAGCACTAAAGAAATGTCTAAATTCGTCTGTAAGGAAGCTAACGAAAAGGTATTTTCTATTAAATATTATAAAATAAATATTATATTATGATGTCCATAAAAAATAATTATTATATTTTTAGGAAAATTTTATGTTTCGTTGCTGTTTGGCTTACCGCATGAGACGTGATAAAGATTCTTCTCTCCCTCGAGTGTTCGAGGTAATTTTATTTGCAAAATTAACTGTTAACAGTTTAAAATCTTAAGAAAAATTAATAAACCAATATATTTTACAGACGTGTTTAAAAAGAGGAGTATATTCTCCAATACAACAATCTAAACTATCATTGCAACAAGGTTACACGTCACAGCCTTTAGCACAACAGTTAAGCTTTCTGTCTCAACAACAAGGATTCTTGCCTCAAATTACGGCTCAACAACAGGGGTTTTTGCCTCAAACGTCAACCCAACAACAAAGCTTCTTGCCTCAAACATCGGGACAACAAAATTACCAGTCACCAGTAGTGTTCGATGAAAGCGCAGGTAGGTTACTTTCTATAAAATTTTCTCTAATTATAAACTTGTAAATATATTTTCTCATACCATTTTTTTAATTTTTCAGAAGTGCCTTACGTATACTAATCCACTTCCAGACCTACAAATCCATCATATATTTATTTATTTTTACATATTTATAAAGAACAATTAAATTAAAATATTTTTAATCAAATACTCTCAGTTTATTTTATATTTAAAAAACATTTTCGAGTAAAATTATTAGAACAAAACATAAGAGAATTGCAGAAAAGTACACTTTTTGGGCTAGTATTTGAGCTTTTGTAATTCCGAGTAACATTTTGAATAAACTTCATTTGTTTCCATGCAATTATATCTTTATAAGCATAAAATTAAGCCGTAAAACTAAATTAGCTCTATGGAAAACCCAGTGAACTTTGAACTATCGACCCGAAAGTTTGGCCAGCACCTCACTGATAACGAGAAAGGCTTAAGTTTAAAATTTGAGCTTCTAGACCCAAAAGTTTTTTCTCTGTGACCGTCTGCAGTGCCGATGAATAAAAAGATAAAAACAGTTTTTTTGGGGGTGATTTTTGCACTCTTCGATTGCTTATATTTCGGCATCCGGTTTATATAAACTTGAAATTTTGCACACTACGTAAGAAAACAGTTATCTTTCGAACCTGATATTCGAAATTACTTCAGGTGTTTTGGAGGCGGAAAAATCAATCCCCGAAAATCGACAACTCTGTTTCTGTATACAGTAGATCCCCCTATAAGACGGTAGATACGTTCCGTTCTTTATGAATCAATTTTGTAGGAATCATAGTTTACGGACTACGGCTGTTTGAAAGGTTTTCTTTCATAAAATTAATCGATTCTAGACTAATTCGACTCAACATTTCCAAAATACGTATATTTTTTTG